GCACTAAAATATTTTCTAAGGCACCTGAGCTTTCTAGACAGACTATGTCTCAACAGACTATGGAATAGTTGCATTATATTCCTGGATGGAATACAATGGACTATATGATTGGAAACAGTGGACTGTAAGTTTTGAGCTATGACCTGGTTTTTGAGTTTTCACCTTAGACTTAGGCAGAATCAAGATTTTACAGATCTGGCCTGGAGTTAGCAATCAGACTTTAGGCTTTGGTTCCTCAACTTGGAAATTCATCTGTTGCTAATCTTTGCATGCTGTTTATGTTTCATACCTATTTTTTACTCTTTGTCTGTCGTTGGTACCTGGCAATCATTCAGAGCTGTCTCAGTTTTTCACCTTGAGTCTTCCCTTACTGGGTGAGCACAGTGGTGTGGACCATGAAGGAGTGGGAAACCTGGGGGCAAGAAAATGCAGTGGTGGTTTGTGCAAATGTGCCTGAGCACTCCTGTAGCCCTTCTAGGCCTATGTGGAGACACACAGAAGAAAGAGCCCGAATAATGCATGTCTTTATTCAAGCTATACTTGGTAACATGTTATTTTCCCTCCATTTCCCTGCTGGCAGTTAGCGTGGTGCTCAAGAATTAAGGACAGATTACAGTGATTTTCTTCTGAGCTCTGCTTATCAGTGGGGCTCCAGGGATGAGCCTGATTCAGAGGTGCTGCACAGTGGGTAAATGGGCAGCCATGGAGACACAGTCTTCCAGGGATGCTTGGGAATCTGAGATAGCCCCTGCAAATCAATCCCCTCCTTCACCAACTTTGCTTTATTCACCATCCATTGCTAACGTGCCATAGCTAAAAATGGTCCCAAATGACTTGCATCTATAGGAAAACAGAATATCTGCACTCTCACAATTCAGTCCTGGGAGGATGAGGATCCTCTTTCTAGAGGACTCTGAGGATGCTTTTTTCTCCCTTTCATTTGTTATTGCAGCTGGAATAACATTTTAAAAAGTAATGACAATTTTTCAAAAGCAATATTTCAAAGAAATTTCTCTGGTCACTGGTGGTTTGTGATCCACTTGTGACTGTCTCGGGGGTAGAAGAAAAGAAAGCCCAACTAGAAAAAGAACTGGAGGGACTGTACTGTTTAGATGAGGAAAGATCAGTTGTGTGTTTGCAGAGAGGAAGAAGGGATTGATGATATATACAGGCGGCTAATATGGGTCAGGAAATTTAACACACAAACAGCTTTAGCTTGAAGAAGGAGGCGTCCTGTAGGGCACATAGGATACAGGGCACATGTGCTCCTGCCACATAGCCCCTTCACAGGTACAGTGTCCCAGCAGGGATGGACAGCAGAACCCCTGCAGATGACTCGTTACAGCCACACAACTGAGTCACACAAAAACACAAAACCTCAGCCTGCAGATCACAGTGGGTTGGGCCAATTCATCCTGCATCCTTAGGAGGGGTGTTTTAGGATATCTGCTCTCACTGCACTCCAATGGCTCTGGGGTCTCTGGAGCATAGAGATGTGTTGTCCCAGCAGTACAACGTGAAAGGCAACATGGGTGAAAGAGCCTGCCAAATATGGATCCTGCATTTCCACCTCACAGAAAGGGAGACCAAGAACATACTGGTTGCTCAGGCTAGGACAGAGTGTCACCTTACCTACAGGGGAAGGATGGGAAAAGAAGAGCATGGGCTGGGCTCTGCAGGAAGCTGAATGTCATCCAGGAAAGCACATTCTTGACTTTAGGCATATGAACTTAAAAGCACATGAATATTCAACCAAAGTTAAGGGGATTAGTCACATGCTCCAAGTAAAGCACATGCTTAGGCACTTGGCCAGAGCAGATCTGAGGGGCAGGGTCAAGCCCCTTAATACTGGGATCACTAATAACAGATTTCTAATTAGCTGATCTCCAACTAAGAGACCACACATTGGTCAAAAAGCTTCAATCTCTGTTCAGAAAGATACTTCAAAGCCTCCCCCAAAATGAAGAAACTCAGAGTAGCTGTGAGTGTGCTTTAGCTCAGGAGAGATGGAGACACTAACCATCACAAATTTGCATGTGGATGTATTCTGGACCAACCCTGCTCTAAAGACAAGTGTGAGCACACAGAAAGTGTGGTGGGGCTGTGACCCCCGTTCAGGGCTATGGAAGCACATGGAAATCCTCCCCAAAGGGGTTCTGCCCTTACCTACAGCAATGATGAGAGAACTGGTGTTTGGACAAATGGTCCTTTTGGGGATCCAGCTGCAGATTAAGGTGACATGATCACCTGCTGCTTCAGACATTCCCATAGCTTTTAAGATGCTTCATAGTCACACAAGCCTTACAGACCCTATGCTAGAGCAAGTGGAAAATCACAAAACTGGCCCAAAGATTCAGGGTCAACCCTTTTCTGTTGTGAATAAAAATAACCACAACCCTCTTCCAACCACTGCCACACACAGACAGACACACAGGCTTATATACAGCTTGTAAACCAACACCATCAGAGAATACTTCATCAAGGCAAAACTGGTTTTATGCCAGTTGCAGAAAAACAGGAAACCTTTGAAAATCCATCAAACAGCAAAAATACTTTCATTTTAAAAAATCTTACTGCTATACCTCTTTCAAAACTGTATCTGTAGAATACATCCTGTGAGCATTCATGGACCACACAAGGATACATCATCACAGGAGCTGCTGTGCTGCTCTGCTGCCACAGGGCCTGGTGGTAGACTCCAGATAGGTACCTCTGTGACTCTGGTTTACCTGTGTCACTCCAGATATCTGTATTTACATGAAACACCTTTCCTATCACATCCAGAACTGCAGAGGAGGAAGAAAATTTGCATTCAAAACTGTTTGAATTAAACAGCTGCAATTTTCCTAATAATTTCTTACCAAGAAGTTGTGGTTTTTTCAAAATTTTTCATGCTTTGAAGAAATGAACAATTTTTATAGGTCTTTTTTGGTTTCCAGTTATTGGTTTTCTGCATTCAGCTTTCATTTAGCTCTCCAAGGCTGTTTTTGTTTTAAATTTCCTTCTGTTCAATGGTAATTCATCAACCTCCTTACCAAGTAGGCACTTGCACAGTCAAATGATTTCAAAACTTTTCAAAACCACTCTATTTGAAAACCTTCCCAGAAAAAAATAAATAAACCAATCTGTTTAAAAAGGAAGCTTCTTCAAAAGGCTTGCATTTTCAACTCGAATAAATAAGTAATTTCTCTGGTCACATCTAATGGAAAATGAAATTGTGAAACTTCAGTTGACAGAGATGGCACTTCAGTGGAAACACACTGACTTAGCAGCTGGCATTGGCATGTTTGGGGAATCTGTAGACAACAGAAAACAAAAGCTAGGTGGTTGAGCAAGAATGGAAGAAACCCAAATCTACTCTACTCCAACATGCCCTCCAGAAACTTCATTTCTTCAAGCACTGTTAATACATGTGTAAGAATTATTTGTTAGCTGGATATTTTTAAACCAAGCAATACTCTTTCTTGCCAGTGTGTAAATGGCATGACCTGGAAATTAATGCCTGCATTTCTTTGCAGCAGGCTCAGGCTCCTTCTCCTAGTGAGATATTTTAGATGGAGAGGATGACTTTTTATTGACTAATGAGGACAGAGATCATGCAGCTATCATGCATGAAAGGATTGCTGGTACTATCCCTGAATTACGAGCATGTTGGGTTGGATTGGTTTTGGGGAGACCTTTTTTATTTGCCCTGTCTCCCTTTGCCTGCATATTTATCAGCCCTCACTTTTACACATGGCAGTTCAGTCATCCTTCTTCAGAGTCCCTTTGGCTACACCCTTGGCCCTTCTTCCCTACCTTCCCCTCAGCCACTGGTACCCTGCAAGGACCCACTGTCCTCACAGCCAAAATGCTTTTCTTCCTCTAATGGCATTCACCCACCTCTCCAAACTTAGCTGTTCCTTTAGCTCTTCTGGGACCTATGACCTGAATAATGGGAAGAGCAGAGGGAAGGAAAAAGGAGACAGTAGGAAGAGGAATAGCAGGAAAAAGAGAAAGACCAAAAAAAGAGAGAGAGTTCCATTTGCAGATTCACAGTTATATCATACAATGCTTAAGCTCATGGGAAATGGATCTCTGTTCTCTGCATCTGACCCTTTCACATCCATCTGTACACAGTTCTCCCAGATGGAGAGAGGAGATGTCCAGCGAACCGGGGCAGTTTCCAAAGACAAGATGTGGGAAGGTCTTATTTGGCATACATGAACACAATGAGAGGCATCTCTTCCTTCTCTTCTACAGAAATTAGCTCCCTTCTCCTCCTCCACAATGGCTTTTGCCCAGTTGTCTCAAACATCCAAACCGGAAACTTGATGAAATCCCATTCCAGCCTGGGAAGAACAGCTACCAGGCTTCCCCCCACCTCCCTTCTCCTTGGTCAGTCTTCCCCTGGATCCACCATCCTGAACTCTCAGAAGCTCCATGAAAAAACCCAAAAAACCTGCTGAGATCCACCAGAGGAGAGGCGCTGTCTCAGACCTGACGGCTTTCCTCACGCTTCTGCCCTTGCGGTGCCTCAGTCTTGGGCCACAAACACAGCATGGATGGTTTAGTGGACAATCACACTGCAAGGTTTTGAAATTTTCTTTTTGTTAAAAAACGTAATTAAAGTAAGAGGGAAGAAAAAGTAATACACACATGTATCACAGCATTTTCAGAAGGCTTTCTGCTGTGTTTACATTAGCAGTTCAGCCTCAGTTGTAAGCCTGGATGTAAGGCAGCTGGAAGATTAAAACCGCATTGTTGGAAAGTCCGCTGAGATGTCCTCTTGGAGATTTTTTTATTGTTTTGTTTTCTGGTTTTATTTTCTTGGATGTTTATTATTATTATTAATAATTATTATTATTTTCACTTGCTTGCTTCTCTCTAGAGTTTGGCAGGCAAAGAGAAAATGCTTTTCTACTTTTCCTCACACATTCTGTCCACTTTGTTTTCTTCATTTTAAGGAGGGAAAAAATCCAACAAAACCCCAAAACCAATGACACAACAGGTTTCTGTCATTTTGTTTTAAGAAAGAAAAAGGACGTGGGTGGGTTTCTGATTATGGCCTTGAGGAGGTACGTTGTTGAAGTGGCTCAAATGCTTCGTTTGTTCCTTTGCTTGCTGTTTGCATTTTCCCTTCTGGCTGCAATGGACACGTTTTTTGTGTCATCCCCCCCACGCTTCTGCCCCCACCATGTCCTGTACAGATTCTGGTTCCAGATTCCCCACATGGATCCCCTGTTCCCCCTCCCAAATGGCAGTAGGTAGGTGCAACTGTAGGTTCATTTGACCTCTAAGGTATGATGCTGAAGTTAAGAGTTGGATGGAAGAGCCACGTGAGAGAAAAGCTTTCCCATCACTGTGAGAAAGAATGAAGCAACACAGAGTCCAGCGGAGATGTGAGTGCCATGTTGGACTCAGCTCTACCTTGGCACTGGCATTAACTTGAGATTTTATATATAGATATAATTATATATACATATATATGCATGTATAGGCATACATAGGCATATATATATATATATATGTCTGTGTGTGTGTGTATTCATTTGCTATTTGTTTTAGCACACTGTCCCATTCTCAGGTCTAGATTTGGGGCAGTTGGTCCTGGGGACAGGTTGGACAGAAGGGGCCAGAGTGCAGAAGAAGCCAGAGATGAGAGTGAGGCCCAGGCCCCCCCACGCACAGAACATGGACCAGCCGTAGCCGTGGCTGATGTCGTCGGGCAGTCCGTACAGGTAGCGCGGGTACCGCGACAGCTCAAAGTTGATTCCAGCCACGCAGGTGCACAGTGAAATGATGCAGAAGGTTCCTGGAGGAGAGCGGGAAGGGGAGAAGGAAGGGAGGAGAAAAACAAAGAGAAGTTAGAAAAGTGATAGGGATGTCCCTTTCCAAGGTGCCCGAGAAGAGGTGGTGCACGCAGTGAGGAAGTGCCCAAGGGAAGATGTTTGTGTGGAGTGCCTTAGCCTGGAGGCTCCGTGGGGAAAGAACTGAGTGCCACCAGAGCCTCGAATATTGATCTGCTGCTGAACAGAGCTGCATGGAGAAACTTCAACAGGAACATTTTTTTCATTATGAGCACTCCCTTGGGAGCCAGAATGCTCTGTGGAACTATTGATTTTTCTGAAACTTTGCTTTAGCCAAATACAGAGTGAATAATTTTGTTTTGACATTTTAGGGGGGGAAAAACTTGAATTTTTTGTTTCATTCTGATTTTTCAGTGATAGACTTGATATAATATTACCATATACTTGACATATTCTGGCTCTGTTGAAATGTACATTTGAACTTATGTGGGAGATTTTCTTCATGCTTTTCTTATATCAAAACACAGAAGTTTTTATTATACAGTCTCCCTTTAAATATAACTTTAAAAATCTTTAAATCCTTCACAAAACTCAGATTCTGCTCTCTGCATGACTCCACTTTCAATCCAGATGCCCTCTGCCATGTTGCCAAAATCTTCAAAATATCCTGTTCTTGTTTTCCATCTCTGCAGCAATATTTAATTTCCTATTTCTTCCTGAGAACACTGTGAGGAGAAACTTCATAACTCAGATGGTGTTATGGAAAGACACATATACCAGATGAGGCTGAACCCTGAACCTTATCCCACCCAGATGAGTCTAATTTTGATCTTTGGCCTCCAACTTCATCAAAGCTAAACTCTGAGCTCCTGAAATGTCACAATTGCCACCCACACACCAAATAACGGAGAGATACAGATGCTACGCACCTGCCACAAGAGATAATGACTCAAGCCAGCATGAAGTTGGCACTTCATTTTTCCTCTCTAATTCTTCCCTTTATGGGCCTCTCTGAATGCCTGGAGAGCCCTGGGCACAGCAGGCAGCCCACAGGACTCATGCTACAGGACACACACAGTCAGTCCTGGGTGTCCTCCCTCTGCTCCTGCATGGGTCAGTAACGTGTGACACATCCTGCATCTCTTCACTTACAGCTGCTGCTGAGGAATCTCTTCTTCCTGATCCCATCCCTAAACCAGCACAATCTTCCAAAGCAGTCACAGTCAGCCTAGTTTCATGGAAAAATCCTGGTGCCCTTGCTTTCTTCTACTCCTTCCTGCCTGACCCTGGCTCTGCTTCTCTTCTGCAACACTTTTGCTGTTGTTTCTCTGCTGCTTTGATTTGGCACGCCCCATGTGAACACAGAGGTAAGATTATTGGGTGAATTCACATGGAATTTGGTTCAGAAACTGGGAGCATTTGCAGGAACATACACACATCACCAAAATGTGTGGACTTTCCACTATACCCACCTGCTTTACTTAATGAGAACATCACATAGGCATTGAATCTACAGGCAAATCTCTATCATGAACCTGCTGTGAGATCACTGTCATTGTTCTCTCTCTGTTCCTTCTTCTGATCACTGCTGTGTCTGTTTCTCCTTTCTCCACTGTATTTTGGAATGTCACTTGTAGATAGTCTCTGCTGTAAAGGTCAGGTGCTCCCCCCAGTGCCACGTACAGCTCCAGATGGCCCAGGATATTCATGAATACTCATTTTATGGGAGTGCCACTGGGTACCAGCGAGCTGCTGCAGTAGGTACTATGCCTATTTCATTCAAAATAGCCTTCTTTCCTCCCACCAGCACCCCATCAACCTGCAATCAGTGATCTGGATTCTTGCAAAAGCCTCATGAGATCCCAGGCTCTGGAGCTGTCTTTGAAGATGTCCTGTACCACTTCAAAGCACAGAGTAGGATAAAAGGGGAGATCTCCCTCCCACAAAGCATTAGTCAAAAATCAGGTTGTTTGATTAGAAACCACATATTCTTTCCATGTTTTACTATGTTACTTAAGTTATTCAGTAATATGAAGACATCTGACATGAATGTGATTGTTCCCTGTGTTCTATGTCAGAATGACTAGTGCATTGTGGGATCAGGGAAAAAAAATGATGCCTCAGAGGCACTGTGCTCTGAACTGAACTCTGTGGCTCATTTCAAATGGTTGTGGTTAGAAAATGACAAGGAAGGCCTTTCTTTGCTAGTAAGAACATGGTAATTTCATCTCTCTAAAAACGTAAGATTGTTAAGAGAGGTGGGTGGGAAAATCTGTGTGGCCAGACTGAAGCTGCATTTGCTAAGTACAAAAGGGAAGGAAATAACTTTGGATTTCAAATACTCCCTGTGCTTTCATGCTTTGTCTTGGCTGTTTTGATCACAAGCTCTTCAGTGCAGTGAGTGTTGCTTACTCTTTGTATTTGAACAGTGCCCAATGTATTGGCAACTCCACCTTGCCGAGGGTATTCTGCCCCTTAACAAAGGAACAACAAAGAAGAGCAAGTAACAACACTAGAGCTAAGCAAATCACGAGCATGAGACTTCTCTAAAAAAAGCCTTTTCCCTTTCTGGAGGATGTGCTAACCCATGATGACAAATAATGACTGCCACGTACAATGTCACAGAGTGCAGAGCACAATCCTCAGCCTGTCACTCCCCGGTGCTTCTGCAGGGTTTCTTGTACAACACAATTATCTGTCTCTCTAGCACTGTTCATTGCAGACACAAAAAAATGCCATTTTACGCCACCTAGAAAAATCTTTATGGCCATTTTATGAGTCCTATATGTTGCTTGTGTTCAGCCAAGCAAGGAAGTTCCCACCTATGGGTAATCTGGCCTCTCACCAGGAAGGCTGCTGATGAAAACCAAGTAAGGTTCCTACCTCATAACACAAAAGAACATCCTTCTATATTGCACAGTTGTTGGCTATTGTAGTGAAAGAGTCATGGATAAAAGGGATGCAGAGCCTGATCTTACCTCTGGAAATGAAGCCTCTGCTAGTCCAGGAAAGACATGAGCTGAGGTGGCAGGAGGAGGGAGGCTGTGGCTCCTGCCCATGACACTCTGCACTATGGACACAGTGCTTCAGAGGCAGCAGGACTGCAGGAAGTCATGAACACTTCCAACCCTACAATCATTTTTCTCCCCAGAAGTCAAACTGAACTCTTAGGCAGTTTCCTCTCAAGTTTCTGCTGTCAGTGAGGTATCCTCCTACATGTGTACCTAATGCCCCAGATCCCCTGGAAACTGCATTGATGCAAACTTTAATTTCTTTGTGAAAAACACTTCCCATAGCTGTGGTCCAAGCAGATGACCAGACCTGAAGGCTAGTGGTCCAGCCATGGCCCTGATGCACAAAATGGGAATGACAGGTGGCAATAAGAGCTCTCTGGTACATGAGCTGCACAGGGAGATAAAGGCCATCTCCTTCAGCAGCTGGGGGGAGCAGAACTCACCAAAGTTCCTTGTGCTGGGATTTACACATTATCCTCCTAAGTGAAACCTAATGAATGAGACAAGGCAACGGTGGGATTTTTGACAGGTAATTCACATGTCACTGCTTCAATCAGGTGAGAGATGAAATTTCATGTAAAGCTGTGTCTGTGCCACAAAGCTGCTGTTTGACATGTAGCCAAACCTCCATCCTGACTCCTTGTCAGGTAGCCTCCTTTCATCTTGGCCTGGTTCTGACAGTGCCTGTCCTGCTAATGGGCTGATGATCATCAGTGGTTTGAGAGCCTGAGCTATTAAATACCTCTTGGCTTTCTTGTGCTTGTCTTTCTTATATATTACAGAATAACATTAAACGTTACACTGAATGTCCCTTTCATTTAGATTAGAAGGTTTTTTAGGACAGAGATGAAGTTATTTGCTATATATGTATATAAGATTTGGGTCCTACCATCCTTGCTGCAGGGGCAGAAGAGGGATGGCAGGGAAAGGTAATATCAGTGTTGGTCAAAGCCCAATACCATGTGGATTATGAGTCAGAGCCTTTTGCTGTGGCTGTTTTCAAGCATGATTATATCAAGCAGTGCCATGGGCCTCTGCTGCAAGGAATTAATTTTTTCTATTTTGTAAATGTCCCTTTCTTTCCAATCAGCCCAGCTATGTGAGGGTCTGCAATATCTCCACAGTTTTTAAACCTCACCTCCAGGGGAGACCAAAAGTGCTTGTGAGTGAACTGATTTAAACACAAACAGGCTCAAATCATCCATAGCAAATCTGTTTGAATTTTCCCTGATGCTAGTATCCCCTTGAACCATGTCAGAAATCTCGTCCTTCACCCACAGACCTGGCTGGACTTGCAGAGTGATAGAGCTTGAGGGATGTCCCAGGGTCTGTGGTGTTTTGTGACAAGAACTGGTGCTTTCTTAGATGCACTGCAGATGAAGGGGAAACTTTTGTGGTGCTAGGGCAGAAACAGACCCTGCTGGTGGGAGCTTCATCTAAACATCCTCGTCCTTATTATTAGAGATGAGGTGTCTGACTGGAACCTGAAGGAGACATCACCAATTTGAAGGCATGGGAAATCCAGAAAGCCAGTAATTAAAATGATCTGGGCACCAAGCCCATCTCTGAGACCCTCCTCTTACATATCATTTGTCTCATGATTTGGAAATCACTTCCTTCGCATCTGACAGAATGATGTTCATTCCCTCCCTTCCCCCCACAACAGATAGAAATGACTCACAAACTGTGCTGTCAGATGTACAAAGTAAACAACCCCAAAAACTGTTTCTTCTTGCCTTCTGTTATTTTTTTAAACACATAAAAATGTCAAGTATTACTTATAAATTAGTAGATAAAAAGAGAACTGCAAAGGTATGGATTTTAAGATGTCCTTTGAAACCATGCAGTTTTCAAATAAATGTAAATCTCTGCCTTTTAAAGTATTTCTAGTAGCTTCTTGTGGCCACTAATGTCTTTGAAAGGAGAGCTGTTTACTTAATTATCATCACTTTCTTTTATTACAGGGCCATGGGAGAAAAAAAAAAACTCAC